AAGGCCCTGGGTTCAATTCATAGTACATGAAAAAAAAAAAAAAAAAAAAAAAAGAAGACGAAGACAAGTTTTTTGCATTAACAAAATAGAAGGGTTGCCTTGAGGGCCATCCCAGGAACCAGCAAGACTTTACCTTTTACAGGCTTGGAAAGTAGCCACAAGACAACCTGTGTCTAGGGAATTAGTTTGCTGGGATTCATTTTACAGTGCTCAGCCATCCAGGTACCACAGCCATAATTAAATGTGGCTGGGCTACTCCTACCTTTACAACACTTTCAATTGCAGCACTTGTGGTCTGCCTTGGATTGGCTTTGTGCACTGCATTCAGCTTTTTATCAGACATTTCACATTTCTGGGTTCTCCAACTTTCTTGGCTTTCTACTACCCTTTCAGCTTAATTCTCAGATCCATGTGCACTGTCCTATCAGGAGTAAACTGCCTCATCTCCCAGGCCTCACTCTGAAATCTAAGTGAAAACCTTCTTGATCCCACAACTCTTGCATTCTGCAATCCTATAAGAGCTACACCATATGAACAATACCAAGATCTGCCACTAATTTGAGTAGTAGCCAATACACAATTACACAAGTTAAATACATCTATTCCAAAAGGAAGGTGTAAGCAGATGGAATAGGACCAAAGCAAGAAAAAAAATCCAGAAGGGAGGATATTAAAATCTGTAATTTTGGGCCAGGGATTTAGCCCAGTGGTCCGCTGCCTGCCTGACTCATAAGCACAAGGACCTGAGTTCAATCCCCGGTACCAAAAACAAACAAACAAACAAAAAAAAACCCTGTAATTTTGTGTTCAACACCTAGGACAAGATGTGATGATGAGGCAGTGTGCCTCTGAGAGGACAGTGCAGTCTGAGAATGAAGCTGAAAAGACAGTAGAGATGGGAATGTTGACTTCCTTTGCTATTTTTACAGAAGTTAGCAGCTAAGAGTTTGCCTTGAATTTCAGTGGACACACTGGACTTGGACTTTTCAGCAGTGCCAAAACTGTTAAGACTTTGCTTTCTATCAGAAATAGACTAAATACAATTTGCATAAAAAGATATGCACAAATCTGTGGGGAGGAAGGCATGAAATGATTTAGATCAATAGTAACTCACAAAACTATCATTCAGTCCGAAGGGGGGCCTTTAGAAAGTGAATAGATCATGGAGTTACTATGGCTGAATATGCTGTTAGGAGATGGGGCACAATCAGAAGAGGCAGGTCATTGGGGGCATGATCTGGAAAGGTTTATCTCTATCCCTGACTCCTCCATTTTCTTTTGTTTTCCTCACCACAATGACATGAGCAGATTTCTTTCACCCAAGCCCTTTCATCATGCCATTTCTGTGTTTAAGCCCACCACAAATGGACTGGAACTTTGTAAACTGTAAGCCAAAATAAATATCTTATCCTTTCAGTTGTTCACGTTGAGTATTATGTCCAAGAGATGAGAATGTGACTAAGATGGTCAGGGTAAATGAATTTCCAGAATTTTGCCATAAATGCTTTGGTACTTGACTTGGATTTTGCTTTTAGGATGGACCCACTGTGCAGTACTGACATTTCTGTCAGGTATGTTCCTTCCAGTGGTACCAGTGCTACAGCCTGAACATAGGGGTGTCTTGAAATTTACTCCACTGGATTAATTAACCCAACATCCTTAGTCTCAGTCTACCCCAAAGTCTCAAGACACATAAAATATGGACGATTTTTTTTAAATCAGAGTGTGATACACACAGCCTCTAGTCCAACTGTCAGTAGAATTTTTTATAGTTTATATTTGGGATGTACTCCAATAACCTTATGAACTCACAGGATGTGCTTGTGGATGTTAGAGCCAGACTGGAAGAGGCAGCCAATGAGGGCATGACCTGGTAGAGTGATCTCCTTCCCTGGTTTCTCCCTGCTCTCTGCTTTCTGGACACCATGTGGTGAGCAGCTTTCCTCCAGCTAGGCCCTTTCCACCATGCCAGTGATCATACAGGGACTAAAACCTTCTAAAGTGTGAGTCAAAATAAATCTCTCCTTTTTAAAGTTATGGGTATTTGGTGTTTTGTCTCAACAATGAATGTAGCAGCTAAGACGGTGCCCATTTCCTAGATGAAACCTCTGGAGCCTGGTCTTCACTGTCCATATTTCTATAACCATTTTGCTTTTCTGAGCTCTGACCAGAATTGCTCATTGTACTGACCTCATAACATTCCATGTATTCTTTAGGTAACATCTCTAAATCTTTCCAAACTCATCTCACATGCAAGTTCAAAGTGATTCTAAGCCACATGATCAGGAAATAATCACAGGAGTGACCCAAGTTCTTTGGTACCAAAATCTATCTTAGTCAATTTCCTTTTTGCTGAGATATAATACCTAACTCCTACAAATTAAAGGAAAGGTTTATTTTGGTTTACCTTTTTATAAGATTCAGTCCATAGTCAGCTGGCACCAAGGCAAGAAGAGAATAGTAGAAGGGCATGAAGAAGAAAAGCTCATCTATGACACACAGGAAACAGATGAATGAATGGAGGAGCAGGGGAGCTTCCCACATCACCAGTGACCTGCCTTTTCTAACCAGGCTCCAGTCCCCAGTAGCACAATCAGCCACTGACAGATATACTGTGGAGTACAGATTCAGCCACTTTCCAAAAGCTGCACTTCTGAATGCTTGAGAGTTTTAAGGTACATTCATTATGTAAAACAGACCAGTGTCACTTACTGAGTTTCAGATATGATTTACAAGTATGCCAAGTTATACTTGCTAATGTGGAATAATATTTTGTATTATCCTTACTTACAAAATTTACAGTATTTGCACAGCTCTTAAAATGGCTTTATATGTGCAAGTTGGCTTACATATAGTTATCAAAGTACCATGTGAATATAAATTAGGGGGTTTTGGCTAAATTTTTTAAGCAGTTGAGCAAAATGAACTGTTATGTACACTTGAACTCTTTAAATACTCAGTATTGTTCTGCTCCTCTTTGCCAGTAACTATTTCTTTATTCAAGTCATAAACAAATTCTCTTATTGAAAAAATTATTATTTTTAGACTTTCTCATTGTACTTGTCACTCAAATGTAGATTTGTTTTACTTCTATGCAGAGAATTCTGTTCTTTCTTGTTTATTAGAATTTAATTTTGTTACAAGAAGATAAGGGAGGGGAAAAAGGAACTCACACTATGTGCTTTAAAGCAGTTACAATGGATAGTGGATAGTGGCTAATCTATTGGACATTGCAGGTATAGAGCATTTTAATTGTCACAGAAAGTTCTATGGGGCAGTATATACCATGGATATAAACTGTTTAAAAGATTGTTACACACATAACTATCGTTATCAGTAGGCAATTTTTAGAGTATTTCTGCATTTACTGAAAAATTGAGAAAAAGATACAAAAATTTTTCACATAACAACCTGTCCCATGCATAGCCTCCCCCATTTTCACCTCTATTGGAGTAGTATATTTCTTATAGTTGATGAACTTACATTGATGTATTATTTGAAAACCCCATAGTTTACATTAACATTTGCTCTTGGTGGCCATTATTTGAATTTGTACAAATGTACAATGAGGTCTGTCTACCATGATATTAGCATGTAGAATAGTTAAGCAGCCCTAAAAATTCTTTATGCCTATTATCCATCTTTCATCTCTGATCTTTTTGCTGTCTTCATTGAATTGGAATTCCAGGATATGGTATAGTTGGAATCATATAGTATGTAGCCTTTTTGGATTGATTTCTTTCACTTAGCA